TGGCTACCCCCATGCTAGGGTCCAGCCTGGACTTGAGTCTGTACTCAAACTACAGCCCTCCTGGGGCACTGACTGGCTTGGCCAGTCTCAGGCATGGTGTTCCCTCAGGGAACCTAGACTCCTCTCATGCAGGGCTTTGAGCAGAGAGATTAGTGCACAGACCCAAAATTCCACAAAACTACAGACTGGGACCCTGTAGCCTCTGTGGTGCTAGTAGGCACACGTCACTGTCCCAGGAATTGGGATGCTTGCTGATGGTTGAGTGGACCACCTTTCCCTCATTCCTTTTCCATATACCTCCTTATCTGTAGAACTCTCTTCCCAGGGCATAGTCCCCACAGAGAGGACACTGGTCTGTACAAATGTACCCTTTTTCAGGTAGTAAGAATGATGGACATATAGGAAGGGCAGGGTCAAGGGCTTTCTGTGTGCTTACTCTCTCACCAGGCAGGTGACTTTGGCTGTAGACAGACCTGTGGGTAGTACAAGGCTTAGCAGCCCAAAGTTCCACTATTTCTGTAGGCCTAGGGATCAGACCAGCAAAGACTGGCCTAGGCATGATGAATGATCCCCGACTGGCCCTGACTAGGCTTCTTTCTGGTCCTGGAGACAGCCTTGAGAGGTGGCTAATGCCCAGTCACTGCCCACTGGCTCCCTTGGGGGTACACAGGATATCTTCCTGTTTGTAGTCTGCGTTGGCCCCAGGCAAGGCAGGGTCACCCTGGCAGCCCCCAGCCCAGTGTGGGGGAGAAATCCAAGCTGGAGGAGCCAGTCACACCCAAAATGAAAACCACATGCTGGGCCTGGCTCTCCCTCAAGCCACATACCCACAGCTCTCTCTCCTTCTGCTCCCCAGCCACTCCTCTCCAGGGTGCAGGGTGTGGAGAGGCAGAAACCAGGGGACATCAGCAGGAGAGCTCAAGAGACAAGTGTGTCTTCCTGATGGCCACCAAGCCCTCAGCCTTCTACCTCACCAAAGCTGAGGTCTCTAGTTGCCCCTGCCTCTTAGGACCTAAGTAGATTTGCTGTGGGAGATGCTTGTGTAGGGCTGCTAGGTGGAGCTCGGTAAGGGGCCCTGGCAGGCACCTATGGGTGGAGCATTGGGGTGACTGAGGACAGACATTCAAGAAAGTCTTGGTACTGGAATAGATGGGCCAGCCAGCACCAGATGGCTTGTGCCCGCTCCCCTTGCCCCTGGCTACCTCATCCGGTCTGAGGCCTCTGTCCCAGCAGCACTGCATAGACAGTTTGTGTGAGGCCACTGGATTGCTCTGATCAGGCCTCAGGATGATAGGCACTAGGGGCAAGGCTCCCTCCTTATGATCCCCATTCTCAGTATATACTGTGTAATCCCAGTCCTAGGCACCATGCCTTCACCCAGCCCCAGAACATCTGCTACTTGTCAAATGAGAAGCAGCCTCACAGGCATGGCCTGGGCACAGCTCCTCAGAGGCCCATCTGAAGTACCATCAAACAGTACTCATGTGCTCAGGCTTCACCCAGCCAGACAATCTGCATTCAGGTGTGTGGAGTATGGCTTCTTCCCTGGAATCTCAGCCAGGGGTACCTTGTCTACCCATAGCCAGTCCACTATCCATAGGCCTCAGGGACCATGGCCAGAGCCCAGCTTGGGTGATACTGAGGGAGAAATCCAGTGTTGGGTGGTTAGGTTTTCAGTCTCAGCCAGTGATTAGCCAGGCCTCACCTGGCCAAAGCCCAGAGAGGTTCAACACACACACACACACACACACACACACACACACACAAACACAAGCTCAACACATCCATTAAGACCAGGTAGGCCTCAGGAAACTCATAGCTTTCGCCATGAGAGAACCAGTGAGTTCAGCAAGGCAGCTGTGCACAGAGCTGATAAGTGGAAACAAATCCCTTCAGAGTCAAGTACTTCCCTTAAGAGAGTCCTCGAGGAAAGGCACAGTCAGTAACAGTGCTAGAAATTATTAACTGGAAACAAATGTAGTGAGCCAGGGCTATAGGGGAAATCCTGACAGGCTGCTGTGGGACAGGGGTCCCAGCAATAGAAAGGCATCTTGCTTATATGATACCGTGATACACTGCTTCGATGACACACAGCTTCACTCTCAGCAAATGCATTGACCTGACAATGCTATCAAAAGCAACGAAGAATTTCTCTATAACTTGGTAAATGCATTATATTATTACTATGGAAAAATAAGTAAGATTAGGTAAGGGCTTCCCTTCTGAAAGAGTTAATGTTCATACAGAAAGGCAATGGGGCTGGGAGGGTGGCTTGGTTGTAGAGCCGTGTCTAGCATAAGTATGGCATAAGCTGAATCTCTAACTCTACTGCCAAGTGAGGACATATGGCACAGCCCACTGTCAGGACAAAAAGCCAGAACCTGTGGATACCTTGGTTCGGGACTCCTACCTCTAGCACTGTGAAAAGCAAATTACTACTTATAAATCAGGTATTAGATACAGCAAGTCTCCTGGGAAGATTTAGAGAAACGTCTATTCACTTTACATGGGAAGGGCTTGACAGACTAAAGAAAAGATTCTGTCTAGACCCAGTTTAGTGAGTCAATAAGTTCATTAGGGGTTACACACAAGAGCTTGAGTAACTTGCAGGTGGCTACACTATTGTTATACCCCAGCCAATTATTTACCTTATACAGTAACAATTAGTAATTAGGAAGGGGAAGGGCTTTGTGAAGGTCACATAGCCCTATGGTCTCCATGAGCCTACCCTTTTGTCTTCTTTGGGGTTTCTGTTGCTGTGATAAAACACTAAAAAGCAGCTTAGGAAGGAAAGGGTTTATTTCACTTACACGTCCACATCTCAGGAAATCGGGCAGGAACCTGGAAGCAGGAACTGAAACAGAAAGCTTACTGCTTACTGGTTTGCTTAGCCTGCTTTGTTAGAACTCCCAGAACCACCAGCCCAGAGGTGGTACTATTCATAGCGAGCTGGACCCTCCCCCATCAATTAGCAATAAACAAAATGCGCCACAGGCTTGACCACTGGCCAATCTGATGGGGGCATCTTCTCAATTCAAGTTCCCGCTTCACAAATGACTCTGGGTTGTGTGGAGTTGACATAAAACTATCCAGAGCATCCTCCTCTCACAGGGAAATGGTAGCAGCCTGGATCTCATGGTCCCAGTGCAGGTGATCATAGCTGCAAGATAGGATGGCCCATCCTTGGAAATAACCACGGCAAAATACACGGCAGCCCAGATTGAGACACATGTTCATACCACAGTACAAGCAGCCGCTCAGGGGTGAAAAGAGGGTTCTCTTTGGGGTGGCTACAAGTATGTTGACATGCTGTTGAGTTGCTCACTGTGAAGGGGTGGCATTTATGCTACACAGCTGGCTTTAGAAAAAGACCACATGCTGCCTGCGCCCCAACCCCCAAATTTGGTGTCACCGTGGAAGCCACACAAGAGAGGCAGGTATAGCTCTTCTAGCACCGCAGGGTTCAGGCCACCCTATTCAAAGGGTTAGCTCAGGCCGAAAGTCTTCCATGGTTTTGGAAAGGACAACTCTTGACAGGAAATGCCTGATCCCCATCACAGGCAGCAGTGCAGAGCCCAGCATCCCAGGGAACCAGGCCCAATCCAGACACACTAGTGGAGGACAGTGACCCTGTGGTCCCTGCTTAAGTCAGAGGGCATCTCTGGCTGAGCCACAGGCACTTAGCCAGGCAAAGCTCTACCCTACCTTGGTGATCTGAGGGTCCCTGATACCTCACTACAGAAGCAGACATGAAGCAGGGACTAAGGCCCTTCTGAGTAGAGGTACCCTCTTGCACCCCAATCATGGAAGGCTGTAACTAGCGGCTAGTCACACCTGGCCTATAGTGCTGTAGCCCTGGGCTTCTCAGTGGAAAACTGGGAGTGGAGAGAGGTGAAGGTCAGCACTGTGCTGATGGGGACCAGCAGGCTCGGAAGGGGCAGCCAACGGAAAGTGCATTCCCACACAGTTAGCTCATGGTTTACACATCCCACAAGGCTGATAAGGTCATGAAAAGAGAGAAGCTCAGAGCTGGAAGCATCACTGGGCTGTGGCGCCAAGCCCTGCCCACGCCAGAACTCTGGGGGCCTTTGGGGTCGTCCAGCGCCGGCAGCCCAGGCTGCTAGTTCTGAATTGGCCTCCTAGCAGTGACATCCACCCTGTCCTCCAAGGCAGGGCCTCCTCCAGCTCAACCTTCAGCTCTCCCAATACCTTTCCTGAGATCCAAGCCTCAAACAAAACCCAGGAAACCCATTGAGGGCCTTTTACTTGCTCCATTCCTCTAAGAAATATGTATTTGTGACAACCAAACACCCCTTTGTGGGGACTGGTTTAGGACAATGAGGTTTCTGAACCATTCCCCACCCCCACCCCATCCCCCGCCCCAGACAAAATTGTGGTTGCCTCAAGGCTAGGCTGTTGCTAACCACAGTAAATTGTAACTGTAACTGTTCCATTGCATTGAGACACTGAACTGCCTGACTGCCCCTCCATAATAGCAGCCTTTCACAAAGCCGGACAGTTTCTGTCTACTGTCTGGCTTGCTGTAACCAAGCCACGTCCTGTATGAGCTGTATTGGATATACTACTGTATATCCAATAAACTCTCTGCTTCTGCCTTTTCTCTCTCTTCTATCGTTCTGTCACCACCCACGTCACCTGCCTGTCACTGACTCCCCTCACAGCAATTTTTTTCAACTGTCTTTAACTCCATTTTTGCCATTGCTAAGCTTTTGAGAGTCTGAGCTCTGTTGAGGGGTGGGCAGTCTGAATGTGGGTAGCAGAAACTGGACCCCAATGGTTTCCAAGCTCATCAGGGTGAGCCAACACTTGGTGTTTATTTGGCACTTGGCATTTTCTTTGAATTTTAAAATTACACATACGAGTATGGTCACTGTGTGGGTATGTATATGTGAGTGTAAATTCTCGTGGAGGCCAGAAAAGGGCATCAGATACCTGGATTTACAGGCAGTTGTAAGCCACCCAACATGGCTTCTGGGATTCAAACCCCAATCTTTTGCAAGAGCAGCAAGTGTTCTTAACCAGTGAACCATCTCCCCAGCACAAATTCTTTGGAAAAAATTTGTTTTTGTTTATGTGCATGTGCTGGTGTCCATGAAAGCCTAAAGATATTGTTGGATTCCCTGGAGCTCCAATTATAGGAAGTTGTTCAAGTGTGGGGTGCTGGGAATTGAACTCAGGTTCTTTGGAAGATCATCAACCGTTCTTAACCCCTGAGCCATTTCTCCAGCCCTGCCACCTGGCACTTCTTGAACATAGTCACCAGTGACATTGGATAGCAGTTGTACATGTTCATGGGCCACCGTGAGAGAAGCAAACCCAGGAAAAGGAACAGAGACAGTCGTTGGTCTTCCTGCTCACTTGCCATCACTCATTCATCCACGGAATCCCAGGAAGCCATTGTTCCTTCTCCAGGAGGGAATCCTGTCCTCCCAAGAACATGCTGGAGCTCCTTTTGTTTACCTGTCTGTGTGATCTGCGCTGAGTTTGTGACTCTCCTCATGCCAAATCTCCATCTTTCTTGTCAAAGTGTTTCACATGTTTTCTTGTCTTGAGAAGACCGCTGCTAACTCTTCTGGAATAGTGGCTTCCTCACACGTGGGGAAAGTTTCTGCCCCAGCAGTCCAGTGATAATATTCTGACCACAAGACAAAGACAAAGATCAGGGCTACTTCCGTGACCTTACTTTAGATGGTGTGGTCAGGCTGCCTTCCTCTCTGCAGTTCCCCTACCTCCACCTCCTACCCCCACCCCCATCCCTCACCCTCACCCCTCACCCCCACCTCCCATCTCCATTCCCCCCATCAGCACCAAGGGATGTTTATGGGCATTTTTACAGTCTTGCTAGTCCTGCCTGAGAACCATACCCTTGAGTCTGGAGAAAGCAAGCTGAGCACCTGTAGAACAGAGCAGCCATGAGGGGGAGATGTCAGTCTTGCCTTTTGGACCTGGCCTGTTTTGAGCTGTTGGTAGCAGGGTCCTAGCTCTCTGCTGCTCTTTTACATCATCCATGCTGTCAGTGGAGCATTGCTGCCGGTTTCATTACTTGGTGCTTGTCACAATCTAGGGTGATCTGGGAGGGAATTTCAACTGAGGAAATGCCTCCACCAGGCTGACCTGTAGCCAAGTTTGTGTGGTGTTTTCTTCATTAGTGATTGCTATGGGTGGGCAAGTAGTCCTGGGTTGTGTACAAAAGCAAGCTGATACAGCCATGGAGAGCAAGCCTGTAGGCAGCATTCTTCCATGGTTCTGCTCCAGCTCCTGCCTCCAGGTTCTCACCCTGTAAACTCTAAAGTGAAGTTAATCCTTTCCTAACCAAGTTGCTTTTGGTTATGATGTTTATCACAATAGAAAACAAACTAGGACAGTGCTTATTGCTATAAGGAATATATATTTTAAAAATATCGTATTAAAATTTCATATTAATTAAACATTTTTTTTCTTGAGATTGGTCTTATGATATATCTCTGGCTGGTCTGAAACTCACTGTGTAGATCAAGCTACACTTGAAATAGGCCTGCCTCTGACCCCCAAGTGCTGGAATTAAAGGTGTGCTGACTATTTCTTAAATTAAATTTTTTATTACATTTTAATTTATGGGGTGAGGCATTGTCCTCTTCCATCCTGTGGATCCCAGTGATTAAATTCAGGTCTTCAGGCTTGGTAGCAAGTGATTTTCCTGCTGAACCATCTCAGGGACCTTTAAGTTTTAATTTCTTCTTGTTGATTGATCGATTGATTTTTTGAGACAGGGTTTCTCTGTATAGCTTTGTAGACCAGGCTGGCCTCAAACGCATAGAGATCCGTTTGCCTATGCCTTCTGAGTGCTGGGATTAAAGGCATGCGCCATCACCTCCGAGCTGACTTTTAATTTTTTAAAATAAATTCTGAGTTTCTAGATTTGTAATCATGTCATCAACAAAATTATTCTATATGCTCTTTTATGTTTATGTTATTTGTTTTCTTACCTACTGCACTTGCTAGAACGTCTAAGAAAGTATTGAACAGTAACAACAGTGGTAGACACTGCTGTCTTGTCCACTGAAGGGTACACAGCTGTGTCAAGAATTTTTGTCATGTGATGCACACCCGAAAGAAAGAAAGAAAGTTAAAAAGGATTACAGGTTGGTTTTGACTCACAGTGGAGGGGTTTAAGTCCAAGTTTGTCTGGTTCCCTCACTGTGGGCCTAGGCTGAGGTGCGATAGAGCCTCTTATCTCACAGCATCCAGAAAAGAGAGAGGGGTACAAGAAGGGTCCAGGACAAGGCACATCCCCGGTGACTCACTTCCTCCAGCTGGACCCACCTTCTTAAAAGTCTGTACCACGTCCCAAAATAGCACCAGCAGCTATAGGCCAACCCTTTACCACACGCACCTGTGAGGGACATTTCATACATAAACCATGACGGAAACCTCTAGGGATTTTGTTGTTGTTAATTTTGTTGTTAATAATAATGGCCAGTTGCCCAGGCACTGGTGGCGCATGCCTTTAGTCCCAGCATTTCGGGAGACAGAGGCAGGTGAATCTCTGTGAGTTCGAGACCAACCTGGTCTACAAGAGCTAGTTCCAGGACAGCCTCCAAAGCCACAGAGAAATCCTGTCTTGAAAAACCAAAATAAATAAATAAATAAATAAATAAATAAATAAATAAATGGCCAGTTGGTCAAACTTATTTGGGGACATATTGATTTTTCTTTCTGAGGTTTCTGAGCTCATATTTCGTGAAGTGATCTGAGTTGTTGGCAGAGCCTATCCTAGTCTACACGGTCATATGAAAGATGCTGCAGATGTTACTGTTTTCAGTTTGGTTGTTTTTGTATCTTCATTGAGAAGTGATACTGATCTGGTTTTCTCTTTTCTCCATGAAGGGTTTCTGTATTAAGTGACATTAGAGTTGTGAGTTGAGCTGCAGATTTTCCATCTTTTCATGCATTGGAAGGGCTGGAGGGATGCCAGACTGACTTCCAGCTTGAGTCAGACCTGGCCAGTGTGAGCATGTGCTTCCCAGGTTGATTATTTCAAGTGCCTTTGCAGTTTCTTGTATTCACCTCTTCGTGTTGTCCTGATACCATAACTGGCCATTTGAATTAAATGAGGATCACCTATGTGCTGCAGGCTTCCTAAAAGCTTCAGGTTTCCAAGCTCTGACATCGTGACCCCTTCTGGAGTCTTCCCTCTTCATGACTCCCTTGTCACCCTGGATGGTATGCAGGCCTAAATGTCAACATTGAACAAGTTTTGGAGAGTGATGGTCATCCTGCTCTGGGCTTTCTGACAAAGACAGTTGATTTCAGGAAGAAGCAGTCAAACTTTGCCTCTTGTTTTCTACTCTATTGCTTTCTTTATACCCTCATAATCCTCTGTCTAATTTTCATGATGCATTTTATTTTTCTCAATCTGTTTTTCCTTTTTGTTTGTTTGTTTTGTTTTAAGACAAGGTCTCACCATGTAACTCTGGCTGAACTAGAACTCACAGAGATCTGCCTATCTTTGCCTCTCGAGTGCTGGGAATAAAGGTGTGCACCACCACACCCAGCTCAATTTCCTTCCTTCCTTCCTCCCTTTCATTTTCTTTCTCTCCTCTTCCTCTTCTTCATTTTTTGAGACAGGGTTTCTCTGTGTAGTCCTGACTGTCCTAGAACTCTGTAAACCAGGCTGGCCTTGAACTCACAGAGATCCTCCTGCCTCTGCCTCCTGAGTGCTGGGATTAAGGCATGTACCATCACCTCCTGGCCAACTTATTTTCTTAAGATGGATATAGGATCCTTTTTATATATTTCCTCAAAGCGCTGGTGCTTTGGCAGTCTGTTTCCATGGCTTTCTAGAAGCAGATTGAACTTCCCGCTTTAAATAAATGGTCACTAGGAGTGTGTTACTTCATTTCTGAGTGGTTAAAGTTGGAGATATTTTTGGTTATTTTAAATTTTGCTGGATTATAAGATCATTTAAATCAAACAACTTTCAGTTCACTGACATGCCAAATGTGGACGTATTTCCTCTGTGACCGCATGTACGCTACTGTGTAATACACCTGTCTGTCATTTTGTTTCCACCAAGACCTGCCCTTGGCATCCCAGCCCCCAATGGCCTTGCACACGGTGTCACAGCAACTTCCATCGGCATGTGCTCGCTGGTGGCTCTGCTTAGATTCTTGCTCTCCTCACTCTCTGGCTTGTGGCCATGGGGTTGGCCGCTCTTTGTTATTACTGGATTGGGTATATGGATGACATGTGCTAGAGATTCTTCTTCGTGCTTCCTGGTGACATTTCTAGGCTGGTGTGGGATGCCTGATCCTTAAATGACATACCACTGTCCAAGGATGGGAACCCGACCTTGTTAGAGCTTCTAAGGTCACAGCTTGCTCTTATTGGCAAGTGAGCATTTCCCCTGTATTATGGAAGGTCTTGGAGGGAGAGTATAGTATTCTTAGTAATGGCCCAGGCTGCTCAGGCTCACTCCCCATCCTTTCCTGGGTTCCCAGGGTTTTCGGTGGGCACACGGCCATACACCCTCCTGCGCATTTTCACAATCAATGGCTGTCACCATATAACGGAAGAGGTGGAGTGTCCTGGTGGAGCACTAGAAATATATAGTGCCCCGTGTTCCCAGATGGGGAAAGCTGAGTCTCAGAGAGGCAAAGTCACCTTCTTGGGAACACACAACTATATGTGAAGAAGCTGAAATAGTCTCATCTCTCTGGCTTCTGAGAAAGTGCACCCAGGAAGGACTTAGAAAGAAACCTGCCCCTTTCCCAGTATGCACTGAGTACCCTGATGGGTGTGCTTAATGGTTCGCAGTAAAGAAAAAAAAAAATAATTGGGGAAGGAGGTGAGATGAGAGGGGAGCATCCGGTGGCCATGCTTCCTTAGGGGTCAGGGCTGGAATGTCAGCCAGAGCATGGGCAAAGGGGACACCATTCTTTCTGTACCTGCCCTGTGAGACTGCCAGGTAGAATTTAAGTACCTTGGCACTGAAGTGTTTCTCCAGTCTCCACAAGGCTGTGCAGATAGTCTGAATGCAGAGGAGGCAGCGTTGGTATGGGTACCACTTCATATATTGTCTTTTGGTTGGTATTGAGTTGGAGGGCAGCCCTTTCTTTGAATCGTTAGTAGTAAAACTTATTGTTCACACCCTTTAAAACATCTTTGTCTAGGTGTAGTGGTGCACACCTTTAATCCCAACACCTAAGAGGCAGAGGCAGGTGGATCTCTGTGAGTTCCAGGCCAGCCTGTTCTACATAGAAAGTTACAGGCTGTGGAAAGCTACACAGTGAGACCCTGTAAAGCTACATAGTGAGACCCTGTCTCAGTAAAATAAAGTGGAAAACATCTTTTGAGAATTCCTAGAAGGAAGGGGAGCCAGATGCTCCACAAAGCTCAGGCTTAGCAGCTGCAGGGAACACCCTGGATCTGACCTAGGTCAAGGCTTTGTCGCCTTTGCCTCAGGCATCTGCCTAGACTACTCTGTCCATGTTCCCATTCTGGACAGATGAGGGCCCCACAAAAGGTGCAATCTCAGGTACTGCTTCAGAGCTGCCCTGGGGCTAGGATACATCTCCTTTCTACTAGAGAAGTGGAGCTTAGCCTGGAGCTTGGAGGCACCTGTGGGCGGCCCTGAGGGGTTGAGGGCACTGGGAAGTGGTGAAGGCCCCAGAGCTGGGAACCGGAGGGCAGACAGGGGCCTTTACAATATCTCGAGGGTAAGAGACAGCCTGATTTTCCTGGGATGTGCTGTCAGGAACCAGCAGCTGGTCCATTTGCCTCTAGGGAGAGAAAGATATGGACAGAAAAGTGTCTTAGTGTGGGCCACACATCACCAGCCCTGTTCCTGGGGCTGCCTCGGGAGTAAGCAGACGGCCCATAGGGTGGACTTGGGCTGAGCTACATCCAGAGCTCTCTGACAGCTAAGCAGGAGCAGGGGCAGAGTGTGGGCAGGAGGCTGCTGTAGGGCTGGGGCTTTGCCAGGCAGCTGGGCCTGGTGTTTTTCCTTCCACTGGCTCTGGCACCAGGCCTGGTGAGCAAATGCTGACCCATATTTCCACTGCACAGGACGGAAAGTAGGACACCAGTGAGGCTGGAGCCAGGGTGGTGGGAGGCAGGCAGAGTTGGGAGGCCAGATACATCAGCTCAGACTTTCCAGGCTGGGAAGTGGGTCCTTAAGGAGGGAGTGCCCTTCCTAGGCCTCTGGGCTTATCTGGGCCAAAGAAGGGTTTTGGCAGAACCAAGCCACAGGAGCTGGGGGCGGGCGTGTTGTGATTCTTTTTATGCCCCCCCCCCATTTTGAAGACCTTGCCAGGGCACACGGACAGGATAACTAGTTCTACTCTTCCCTACTGAGTGGCTCTGCTTCTTCCCCTAGGGCTTGGGAGACAGGTTCCCTTAGAGGTAGACCCCAATGTGGCTGCCTCATATTGGCCACCCTGACACCTGGATACAGGGCTGACTTCTTGGTCTGGTACTTCTCTTGCCCCAGGTTCTGTCCATGGCTGCCTCCCACACTCTGGTGGTATTACCTGCTGGTAGACCTGGTGAAGTGTATGGTCCTGGCATGTGTTGGGTACAGGAAGAGGATGCTCTGTGGCCGGGAGTGCAGAGCCTTTTTTGTGAGCTCTTGTGTTGTCATTGACCTCTGCACTGAAGAGCCCAAGAAGCAAGGAGAGTTCATCACAGGCAGATCTTTGTCCAGGAATCGTGGATCTGCCTACACCTTGCGCAGCTACCTAGGTTCAGATACAGTGAGGACCATGAGCATCTCAGGGAATGATGATACAGGGAGGACCATGAGCATCTCAGGGAATGATGATACAGGGAGGGCCATGAGCATCTCAGGGAATGATGATACAGGGAGGACCGTGAACATCTCAGGGAATGATGATACAGGGAGGACTGTGAGCATCTCAGGGAATGATGATACAGGGAGGACTGTGAGCATCTCAGGGAATGATGATACAGGGAGGACCATGAGCATCTCAAGGAATGATGATACAGGGAGGACTGTGAGCATCTCAGGGAATGATGATACAGGGAGGACCGTGAGCATCTCAGGGAATGATGATACTAGAGCACATTGGAGTTCTGCTTCAGATTCCAAATCTCCTTTTCAGGATCCATGACCAATCCTGGTCAGCCAACAAGAAACAGCAAATAACACCTGTGGGTCTGACTCCACACTCAGATGGAGTCTGTACTGTTAAAGTGCTAGACTGGCCTAGACACAAGGAAAGTGCTTATCTCTATGCTTGTTGCACTTGAAATTCCTCTGGCTGTTTCTGGAAAGTAGTGGGTCAGCACAGAGACTGTATCTAATAGGAGGGGATCCATCCAGCACTCCAGATGTCAACTGAGTATCCTGGATCGGATGCTCAGCATCTTTGCCCTGATTTCCTCATTATAAGGTGGGATAAAGACTGCTCTCAGGGCTCTTGTGAGATGTTAGGTTCTGGTCAAAGAGGATGCTAGCCAGTGACCGCATATCTAGTGACACTCTATCACATTTTTGGACTCAAACTATGGAGATACCATTTTCCCTGCCTCAGAATATCTAACATGAACAAGAGTGAGGTACCAGCTGGTAGAGAACTTGAGACACTCGTGGCCACAGTTACTCTGGTTTTCTGGCTGGACTGGCTAGGAAGTAAGTGGCAACATGGAGCCTCCATATATTAGAGGTCAGTAAATAACAAAGGTTATTTCCCATTCATGTTCCATGTCTTTTAGGTGGCCAAGGGCTTTCTCTGCCATGACCTTCTCCAAACCCCTAATCGGGAAACTTTTCCTTTGGTGTTGCCAGGAGCAGAGACAGAATGCTGGCCTGGAGCATAGTAGTGTAATTCTACTTGTCATTGATGACCCAGGCTGCAGTGGTCACTGACAACTGAGGCTACAGTGGCCATTCAGCACATATTCTGAGCCATAAAGGCCACACATTGCAGCAGTCCCCAGAACCTGGACTGCTGATCTCCAGAGACCAGAGAAGCGCTGGAAGTAAACATCTCAACAGCAGCCTGTGGCAGGGGCTCTGACTGTCCAGATCTGGGTACTGTTCCTGTCCTGGGGTCTGAACTGTCAAGCTCACTGTTTTTTCCTCGTTAGCCCCATGGCTCTCCAGAGTGGCTCTTCCCTGGGAAAAGGAGCCACTGGCAGCCTGTGGGCTCCTGAATGTCAGCTGGGTAGAGGGGGTGGAAGCTTTCACCTTGGCCAGGGTGGAGAACTGTGAGATTGAGGTGCCCCCCCCCCCAGGGTAAGCCAGGACTGAGAAAGGCTCACAGCTGACTCTGAGGGTGAAGAAAATAAAGTGTCATTTTTTTCACATAGTGGATGGTCAGGTTCTCTTAGGGGAAAATGGACACATTGGCCCATATTAAAACCATGACTTCATGTTCAACAGAAGACATATGTAAAAATTTGAAGAGGTGACTTCAGGATGATGTCTTCTCTACATGTATCTGCCAAGACTCATATCTACATTCTACAAAGAACTCCATATCAGTCAAGGGGTTGGGAGAGAAAGGGAGGGAGGCAGGTAGGCAGGCAGCCTAGTGCCTCAGATGGATAGGAACATGAAGGAGGACATCCAAAGGCTAATGCAGTTATGGCAAGACCCTCAGGCTCACCAGGAACACTCACACTCAAAGTACACAGGCAGCATCTGGGCAGTGGTGGTGCACGCTTTTAAGCCCAGAATTTGGGAAGCAGGAGGATCTCTGTGAGTTTAAAGCCTGCCTTTTCTATAAAAGCAAGTTCCAGAACAGCTGGGATTGTTACACAGAGAAATCCTGTGTCTAAACACAACACACACACACACACACACAAAAAAAAAAAAAAAAAAAAAAACCCAAAAACTACAACAATAAAACCCCACAGGCAGCATCCTCAGCATAGTCAATATGAATGAGACAGGAAGCTGGTGTTGGGGACAGTGATGGGTAGATTCTGGGAGCTCAGGTTGCCCTCACCTTTTCCCAAGGTCATAGAGCAATGTTTGCAGGGCACCTGCTGCATTTATGGGTAGAATTATTTTGGTTCTCCTGACACTTGGAGTTTCTCCTACATGCCTTTCAGAAAGAACTGCAAATTTTAGCATAGATTTTTACACTTTCTGCAAACATCCCAGCTGACCTTTTACTCCCCTCCACCACTACCCCACCAAAATAGAGTCTTATATGTAGCTCAGGCTAGTGGAAGTCACTGGCTCTAACATTTTGTATGGCTTTATGTATAGAAACAGATAGTTTGGCCTCTTCTTTATCAATCTATTTGCTTTCAATTTCATTTTCCTGCTTCATTTCTCTGGCTAGTAATGGCAGTAGAATTTATGTCTTGCTCCTTATCTTAGTGATAAAGTTTTTAGTCCTTTACCATTAGATATGTTGAAGTGATTTTTTTTCCCACAGAGAGTATTTCTGAGATAAAGGAAATTCTATTCTGTTCCTAGTATTTTTTTAATCATAACATGTATTAATCTTTGTAAAATTCTTTGTGCTTTTACTAATAGGATCATGTAGTTTTTATCCTTTATTAATATGATATAGTGCATTGATTGACTTCCATATGTTAAACCAATCTACTGTTCATTGTAATATTTTTGATATTAAGTGGTTCAGTTGAGGTCATTTTGGTGAACACTTTTGTATCTATAGCCATATAGATGTTGTTTTCCTTCCTCATGAGGACTGTTGTTCAGTTTTGGTATCAGGATAGCATTGACTTGAGGGAATATGCTAGAAATTGTTCCTTTGCTTATTTCTAGAAGACTTGAAAAGTTAATTCTTCAAACGTCTGATAAATCCCCATAAAGCTTTTTGACTCATGGCTTTTCTTCATGGGAACTTTGTTTTGTTGTTAGTCCTATCTCTTTATTTCTAATCAAACCTATTCAGATTTTCTGTTTCTTGTAGCCAGTTTTGAAAGTTATGTCTTTCTTGGAATGTAAACATTCACTCAGCGTGTCTACTTAGGTGGGACGTAGCTATTCATAGGAGTTCCTCATAAATCTTTATTTCTGGGAAACCATTGATAATGTCTCCTATTTCATTCCTGACTTTTCTAGTTTGAGTCTTCTTGATTCCCCTGCCCCTTGGTCTGGCTCTCTAATTTTCTTGGTATTTTTTAAAGAAGGATTGATCATGGTTTATTGATTTTTCTCAATTACATTTCTACCTTGATACTTCCTATCTCTCTTGCTTGCTTTGCATTTCCTTTCCTTTTCTAGCTTCTTTAGGTGGAAGCTTAGCCAGAATGTTCCACCTGCACTTGGATATAAGGGCAGTCTCCTGTGTTGGTCCTCTCTATATAATCAATCGATTAATTATTTAATTCACTGAGTTCAGTTACTGCTGCCCTATGAACAGGGGTAGGGGGTTATCCACTACCTACCAGTAGCCACACTCCCACAGAAAAGTGACTACCAATAGCTCCTCAGCTAGGGGTGGGGCCTCTCAGAGAGGCCCTCCTTACTCTGCTGTAGATGTTAACTGGCTTGATCTTATGCAGGTCACCGAGCAGCTGTACGTTGATGAGTATAACAGCCATGCTACGTCTGGCCATTTCCAAGCACTCCTCCCTATTTTCTGGCTCTGACATTCTCTCTGTTGGCTCTTCTGCCTGAACCTTGCATGGGGACTAGGGAAAGAGGGTGATAGAGATGTCCCATCTACAGCTGAGCACTCAAAGTCCCTTATTCTGAGCACTTAGAACAGTATAGGTCTCTGCATTAACCACTTCCCCCTGCAATAAAAAGTTTCTCTGGCCAAAGTTGAGAGCAGCACTGTGGTGATTTGAATGATAATGGTTCCTATAGGCTCATATATTTGAATGCTTAGTCATTGGGGAGTGAAACTGTTTGAGAAAGATTAGAAGGATTAGGAACTGTGACACTGGGGGTGGGCTTTGAGGCTTCAAAAGCCCACACCAGTCCCAATTTGTCTGCCAAGAGATTAGGAAAGAGCTCTCAGCTACCTCTCCTGTGCCATTCCTGCCTGCACGCTGCCATGCTCCCCGCCATGATGATGATAATGGACTAACCCTCTGAAGCTGTAAGCAAGCCCCCAATTAAGTGCTTTCTTTTATAAGAGTTGCCTTGATCATAGTGTCTCTTCACAGCAATAGAACAATAACTAAGACAAGCACAAATCCATATATAGATTTAATACAAATATCTATATATTTAACATTTATATCTCTATATAGCCGTAAACATAAATGTTGCAGAATATTGCTTAACTATGTAAAAATGTGTTGCACATGTTTAGCTATGTAAAGATGTGTTGCATTTATTTTATTATGTAAAGATGTGTTGTTTTACCTAGCCTGCCTAAAGCACTCAATTGGTCTAATAAAAAGATAAATAGGACTTCTGGGCAGGGAGAATAAGTAGGAGGAGCAATTTAGGCTCAAGGGGGAGAAAGGAAAAGAGATGTCAGGGGGACACCAGTGACCAAACAGCCAGACACAAAGGAAGCAGGAAAGAGGACATACAGAATGAAAGAAAGGTAAAAAGCCCCAAAGCAAAACATAATGAATAGAAACAGGTTAAACTGAGTTAAAAGAGCTCGTGGGACAAGCATAAGCTAAGGCTGAGCATTCATAATAAGTCTCAATGTCTTTATCTGGGAGCTGGTTGGTGGCCCAAAGAAAATTTCCAGCTACACTTAAATTTTTTTCTTTCTTTTTATTTATTCTATGTATCTTTTACAACATGTATCTTGATCCCATTCACTTCACCATCCCTTTGCATCTGCCCTCTGCCCCTGCATGCCCCTCCCAATAAAACAAAATTTAAGAGTAAAAATTTTTTAAAGAGGAAAAAAGTGAAAAATCTGGTTATGGAAGCTGCAATATGACACAATGAATCACAGAATAAACCCCTGTGTCCATGTATCCTTTTTGGGGGGCGGGGGTTGAGACAGGATTTCTCTGTTGCTTTGGAGACTGTCCTGGAACTAGCTCTTATAGACCAGAGATCCACCTGCCTCTGCCTCCTGAGTGCCGGGACTAAAGGCATGTGCCACCACTTGCAAGTGTTCATTGAAAAGAGTCATGGGTTTGAGGCCTCTGGTTTCTACTACACTGTCGATGCTGGGCCCTCACTAGGACTCTTCTTGGATATCCTGTTGTTGCCCTGTGTGGTGGAGATCCTGCAGCTTTGGGTCAGCGATCAGGTCCCTTCACATGCTCCAGCAGGTCACAGATGGGGTGGATGTTGGGGTGGGCCAGTCATAAGCTTGGTTCTGGGTCTGGGCAACTGCAGGATTGGTCCTCCCACCAGGGTGAGCTCTCCAGCATTGCCCCAGCTAATTCACCTCTTGTGGCAGTGAGTGAGGGGTGAGGCCAGTTCCCCTGCTTCACACCCTCAGGGTGGACTCACCTACACCTACATCATCAGGGTCAGCTCTCTTGTGTTGCCCAGGCAAGGGACGAAGAGGCCACTCTTCTGAGTGCTGCAGCTGGTGGGGGACTCTTATGACCCTGAGGCCAGACATCCTCCACCTGTCTCAGGTATTGATGGGCAGGAGGTGGGGGATGGGAATGGGGGTGGGGAGAGCACATGTCTCCTCTACCCATGCCATCTCTCCTCATGTCAGATGAGTAATGGGGACAGCTCTCCCCTGCTCACAACATCGGGGCTGGGTCACTCTCACCTCTGGCCACTGGGCCAGCTCTGCTGTGCTGTCTAGGCAAGGAGCAGGGCCAGCTTTTCTTAGTGCTGCCGCTGGTAAGGGGGAAGGTCAGCTCTCTCTCTACAGGCAGTAATGAGTGAGGGGTGGGGGGTGCATTTATCCCCACCCACTCCACCACATGACAGTCAGTAGCTGAGATACTCTCCCTTGCTTACAACTTAGGGGCTGGCTCACCCATACCTCTCACATATACTTGGCTCTATACACATAAATATTTATAAGACAGTTTAACAACAAAGTTATCAATAAACTTTCCCCAAGAACTTCCCTAGTTATGGATTTTGAATGTCTTTATAGCACCAGGCACAAATTCCCTTCTGTGGAGCAGGCCTCAAACCGAATCAAAACAGCAATTTGGAGCCCCCATAAACAGTAGGTACATCTTACCTGGTAGGTGGGTCTCATAGCATGTAGGGTTCAGTGTAAGGTAGGACCATTGATACCTTTTCTTTCTCATCAACCTTTATAGTTCTTTCCAGCAGTGTTAGGATAAATCTTTCTGCCAAAAGCCACCAAGCCCCACCGCCATGTATGCGCTTTATGCCAGCCACCTGCCCGAGTTAGGGCCCCAATTAATGCATAGAGAGACTTGTATTAGGTACAAAGCTGCTGGGCCAATGACTAGGATTTCTCATCTGTTAGCTCAGTCTTAATTATCATAAATCTATATATTTTATAACCCTTATCTTATAGAAGATGCCTTTTGCTGGTGCCCTCTCTTGCTGGTGGCTCACATCCTGCCACTGGAGGAGGCGAAGGGGAGAAGGGGACACTTCCTGTTTCCTTTGCTTAAATATGAGTCTCTTTTCTATGTCACTTCCTGCCTGGATCACCACTTCTCTACTACATTTCCCAGAATCCTCTTTGACTCCTAGTCCTGTCTAACTTGCTGTCTCATTGGCCAAACAGTATTTTATTCAATAATCAGCAAGATAAACATACAAAGAAGTACATTCCTTATCACAGCAGTATGAAAATTAGCCATTGGAGAGAGTTTCCTGGTCTGTTAAAGCACTGCTAGGTTGATATTGTCACTCATCCAGAAGACCCAGCCTCCAATGGGCATGGAGCTGCCATCAGCTGCTCACTCCACTTGGAGGACAGCGTAGGGCCGCGGTGCTGCTTGCCAGCTGTAAGCACAATGGTCATGCCTGGGGAGCCTGTGGGGTGGCTGGGGAGCCTGTGGAGTGGCCAGTGCACTGCCCAGCCCCACAATCACCCTAACTCTGGGCAACAAAAGGATATCCAAGATGAGTCTTAGCAATATTCCAGTACTTATGATGCTTCAGAAACTTTGAACCAGATCAATGACTCATTGCAATAATTATTTGCATATAAAGCAGTTTGGGCAAAGGAATACAGTATGTGACACACAGCAGGTTGCAACACCACTTTCATATGTGAACGTGCAATAGAAAGATGGAAAGATAGCAGGATGGAGTGCTGTGCATGGCAGAGGGAAGCAGAGACGCAGCGACTGGTATGCAAGCCTGGCCATGGTGGACCAAGAAGCATGCCATTGCTGAGTAGGGCCGTTTCTCAGGGAGCTGGGGGCCATTACCAGCCCGCCTCATCCCAGCTGCTGCCAACTTGGCTGGTGCTGCCACTCAGCCCACAGGTCCAGTCTGCCCCACGGAGCTGCCACTGTTGCTGCTTCTTGAGCCGCTTGCCCTGCTGTAGGGAAGAGAGCATGGGGCAGCATTGCTGCCCACAGGCTGCAAACATGATGGTCATGCCTGGGTACTGGCAGGGTGGCCAGTGCCAAGGGCAGGGTGACGTACAGCAGCCTGGAACTCGTGTAGGTACTGCCCCTGAATGTCATCACCCTCACTCTGAACAACAAGACATCTGAGATGAAGAGTGGTTCATATTCTGGATTAAGCCTCCTGGAAGACTTCTATGGTTTGTGCTGCTGGCCTGATGCCATGTTGGTATCTGTGGTCCCTGCTGTCAGTGTAGGCTGTATTAATGTCCATGGTCTGTGTTGTCACCAGAGGCCAGGTTGATGTCTGTGATCTGTGCCTCTGTTGGTGTCATGTTGATGTTCATTGTCCATGCTGCCATCAGAGGTTGTGTGGGCCAGGAAGCTCCTTTTGCAGTTGTTTTGATGACTGCAGACTCATATGAGAATGAGAGACACTGAAGGCTTCTGGGACAACCCCCTTCCTCCCCAAAAAGAAACAGTCTAGACAGGAAGCTGTTGAAGATAGTCCTTTAAAAAAGTGTGATAAAGATGCTAAAGTGTGATTATCTATTGCCTATGTTTTTCTGGTTGTAGTTAATTTCCTTGGGTTGGAGTTTTCCAAGGGGGAGATCTTGGTTCCCAGACTGACAGCTGGGAAACCAACATGGGACCGCTTCAGAATCCCCGAATGTGGAGTCAGTGAGGAGACCTCGGGAATCTATGGGGCCTTTTATAGTAGATCAGTATATATCCCTAGCATAGGAATAGACTTTGGGAGCCCATTCCTCATAGAGGGATACTCCCTGAACCTAGACACAAGGGGGAGGGCCTAGGCCCTGTCCCAAAGGATATGACAGACTCTGAAGACCCCCTATGGAAGGCCTCACTCTCCCTGGAGAGCAGAAAGGGTATGGGATGGGTAGGGTGTTAGTTGGGGGGTGGGGCAGGGGAGGAGGGGAGGGAGCGGGAACTGGGGTTGACATGTAAAACAATCTTGTTTCTAATTCAAATAAAAAATGGAGAGAAAGAAAAACAAGTAATTCTCCACTGATTAAATATGAACATCAGTAAATTTATGAACTTCTCTTTCTTTATTACCATTATTATCACCTACCCAAAGACTATTATATATAAATTAAATTAATTGGATGGATGAAGTATTCTTATTGGTGAATAAAATACAAAATACAATAAAACATAAGTTCTAGCAAAAAAAGATGCTAAAGTGTAACTCTTCACAGTTGACGGATATCTGTGGGGGGTCAGCGGTGGGGGAGGGCTCTATTATCTTTAAGGGGGTGACCACTGGGAGTGGTCCGATGAGTATGTAGGCAACACAAATTGGACTTGATGTCTTTTTGCAGGAAGGGTCAAGGGTGGGAGAGTGGACCTGGGAGGAATGGGAAATGAGTGTGATCAGGTTCATCATATGAGATTCCTAAATAATTAATAAAAATATTATATTTTGGGAAAAGATTCGTTTCTCTGTGTCTTGCAACCAAATTATGTGGTGTCTGGTCTTCAGCAATAGGGTTTTACCATCTCGTTATGGTGGGTAACCCAGAGAAACGTCTTCTGGAAACAGCATTGTTCACTAATGTGGGTTACTTCTGTTCAAACTTTATAAAAGAAATTTAATTAGCTTACAAACTAGTTGGGTTTAAAAAGTTTCTTCATGACCTTTAGTTTTGGTTAACCCATCCATCTTCTACCCCTCCTTTTCCTCATTGCACTTCTCCATTCCTGATTTGTTCTTGTTTGTTTCTTTGAAACAAGGTGTCCTGTAGGCAAGGCTGACTTTGAATTTGATATGTAGCTGAGGCCGGTCTTGAACTCCTGATCCTCCTGCTTCCATCTCCCAAATGCTGGGATTACAGGCATTAGTACCACGCCACCCTTATTCACTGTCTTAATTAATTAGTATAGCACTGTTGCCAAGACCGGTCTTGAACTCTAATTCTAATGACCCTCTGTGTAAGTGTTACAGCTCTGAGGAGAACGGTATCTTGGGCAGTCAGGAACCAAGGAATACCAGAGAGTCACACTGCACAACAAACCTCACACAAGAGATTTATTCTAAAATACACAAGAGGGTGGACACCTTTGATCAGAAGAGAAGCAGCAAAGAATTGAGCAGGAGGCAGGCTTTATATAGGGTTTTTGGGGTGTATGTGTGTAGCTTTCCAGGGTGAGCAATCCAGGTCTCAGATTCTGAGATTGGGAGATTTTGTGGCCTGATCTTGGGACAAGCTCAGGGGTTGGTGGGATTCTGTGGTCCGAATTTGGTGTTTCTTTCTTTCTTTCTTTCTTTTTTTTTTTCTCTGCAGCTTGGCCACCTGCATCTAGAAGGGCTGGAAGACCTTAAGACCATTAGGGTAGTCTGGTGGGGGGAGAGGGTTAGCCACTTGCACCTTGGGGGTCTTACACACAGGCCTCAGCATCCCAAGTATCTGGGACTACAGGGATGCATGATCATAGTTTGTTTATTATTCTGTGTCTTTACATGGCAGTGTTTATCTGATACTTAATTCTTTACCAATAAGGTAAGATTTAGGTGTGTCATTTGCTGTTTGTTTTCCATGTTTCTTGTGTCCTTTTGTCCTTTCATATTAGACAAATACCTACTGACTAATTTTAAAGCAGCTGGTTTTTCTTCTTCCTGTATTTTTATTTTCCTAGTGGTGGCCCTATGGGAAAAAATTAATACCTTTTAAATTTCTTAAATTTTATTTTATGCATATGGGTGTTTTGCCTGCATGTACGTTTGTGCATCACTGGTGTGTTTGATGCTCAAGGGGACCATAAGAGGGCATTCGACCTCCTGGAACTGGAGTTATAGGTGGTTGAAAGTCACTTTCTGGGTTCTGGGAATCAAACCTGAGTCCTCTGGAAAAGCATCCAGTACTCTTAACCTCTGCACCATCTATCTCCCACAATTAACATTTTAATATTTTAATTTATACCAACTTTCAGGAGTATATAAATACTTCACTTATATATAGCTCTACTCCTATAACCCCTCAGGGTATCACTGTTGTAAAAATGAGATCTTTATGTATCATCCATTGGTAAATAATCCTAACTATTACTCTATGTATGACTTTCAAATCAGATAGAATAAAAGACTTACAAGTATAGAACAAATTTACAAGGTCTTTATTATATTACAATTTCCTCAATTTTTTATTTAAAGTATACATAATATAATATTTATCTTCTTAGACACTTTAACTATACAGAGCTTTCTGCATGACCTCAGGTGGCTGAACAAGTTGGGGAGTTTCCCTTTTCCAGCAATTGTTGCTGCTTATTTAACCGTAGGGAGGGGGCCTTGTGAGTCTTGTTTTGGGAACTTTCTGAGACTTATGAGTTTTGTTTACTTTTTGTTGTTGTTGTTACTCTGCACTAAGCAAGTTATTTTTTTTTATTAGTTCAAATTAGGAACAAGCTTGCTTCGCATGTCAATCCCTTCTCCCTCTCCCTCCCCTACCGCATTCCTTATCGTGGGATGGGATCTTAAAGTCCTTCTTACACCAGGGAAAAATACTAATCCACTATTAGGGGCCCCCTAGAGTGCGGAGGCCTCCTCATTGACATCCATGTTCAGGGGTCTGGATCAGTCCTGTACTGGCCTCCCAGACAGCAGTCTGGGGTCCATGTGCTCCCCCTTGTTCAGGCCAGCTGTTTCTGTGGGTTTCACCAGCCTGGGAGTTTTGTTTACTTTTAAAGTTTCATGAACTTTTCTTTTCCATAAACAAGGGAATGTTTCAATTGAGAGAAAATTGCTACATTTCTCTCCACCCCTTCTTCCAGCTCTTTCTTTTTGCCACCTCTTCCATGATATTCCCCGAGCATGGCTGGTATAGATGTCCATTTATGGCTCAGCACTGGACAGTGGCAGTCACCAGTTATCTTTACCTGTGGTTATGCATCTCTGTGGTATACCACCTACTATTAAAAGGAAGCTCCCTTTCATGAGTAATTACAGATGGCAGCATCAATGATCTTTGGGATAAGCACAAATGTTTACGAGGCAGTTTGTCAGGCACATCACAGATGTTC